CATGCCCTGCTTGCTATAATCCCTATTATACCAAGATTTTATACTATACAGTTCTCTGCTATATCCCGGGATATCGGTAGGGAAGATCGGGATATTGGGATATCGAAGGTTAACGTAACCAATATGGTCACCACCGCCAGATAACCACCACCCCTAAGACCACGCTACAAAGAGTATCACACCGTCTGACATTTAATTTTTTGTATTTAATTTATTTCGAATTTTCGCGCCATTGGAAACTTGACTTTCATTACTTGCACTTCCATCTTAGAAAGACATTTTCGGCTTATAATGTAGATCCCCAGTATCGTGTTTGTACAACGCCTTGGCAGATTCCTGATTATTCTCCCGCAATCTTGCAACTTGCAAGTTGCAAGTTGCAAGTTTTGTTCTTTGGCGACATTTGTTTATGATCATTAGTAAACATTTTAGCCTTCTTGCAAATCTGACAAATTACTGAAAAGAATCAAATACTAAATATGTCCTGGAATATCTAACAAGGGAAGGTCCCCGACTGCTACTCGAGTTCAGGGTACCCACTTTGTTTTTTAGAATCTACTAGAACCATAGAGGAAGGATCCATGCATATTTACGTGCAAAAGTCATATTTGGCGCCATGGCGTGGCGCCAAACTTAAAAAGCTGGATTTTCGACCAACTTTAAACCCCCATAACTTTTGGAGTTTGCAACGGATTTCCAAAATTTTATAATCAAAATGATCACAAAAGTCGAAATTTTAAGAAAAAAAATGAAAAACGAAAGCTTTTTTTATTTTGAGTTATTTTTACGATTTTTTCGACAAACCCCCAAGTTTAAGAAAATTTTGAAATTTAGCACAAATTTGAAAATTTCAGCTTTTTGAAAAACTTCATGGAAATCTAAAGTTGAACCCTTTGTGATGAATTTGATCAATTTTTTTTTAAATCCGTCGAGGATTTCAAAAGTTATGGCGGTTTTAAAATAAAAACATTCAAATTTTAACGAATGTGGCGCCACGCCACGGCGCCAAATATGAGTTTTGCACGTAAATATGCATGGATCCTTCATCTAGGGTCCTAGTAGATTCTAAAAAACATAGTGGGTACCCTGAACTCGAGTAGCAGTCGGGGACCTTCCCTTGTAAGTAAAACAAAACACTTATAGGTCAATCCTTTCAGCTTAAAACTAGTACTGTTCCCATTGGCAGAACATTTTGGGTACCTGAAGAACTGTTAAACCTGGTTTGCAGGGAAATTGTTTTATCGGTGGGCTTGGAGAACCTTTCAATGTAACTTCTCGTCCCAGAGTCTAAACTCACAATGCCTTTCCAACCAAGCAACTTAACCTCTTAAGGACGAAGTACGCACATTTATGTAATAATTTTATTTCCCTTGGGGACGAAATACACACATTCGTGGAGCAGATGATTTTCCGTTGAGGACCAAGTACACACATGTGTGTACCGCATAAATTATCCTGACACCGAAATTTCTCAAAAATAAGAGTATTTCTTCCGTATTCTTTGGAAAACTCGATGGTAAAAAGTGGATTTTTTTGGGTATTTTTCTCCACAAATTTTGAAATTTTCCCTGTACCGACCAATGTTAAAAAGTGGATTTTCGTGTTTTTCCCCAAAAAACTCGAAAACTTGGAAACTCGGGGAAATAAATATTCCGTCTTTTATAGGAAATCACAAGGTTTTAATTGGTTGCTATCAGGTGTAATTATGAAATCGACATCGTCCCCAAGCGAAATTTTACTAAAAAACCAGTACTATGAAAGAGGTTAACCAATATATATGTGCGCAGCGCAGCCAGCCTCAATTCCTCTGCCTCGGACCAAAAATCTCGGGTTGAATGATCCGAAAGCGACAACGGTTTGCTGGTCCTGAACGACTCGCTACCTTAACACGGAGCTCGGTAGGGCTCCTTGCCACTTGCACTAATTGCCACTTGACGCACCAAAAATGCGAATATGACGGTATCCCAACCAATATTCCGATATCCCAATATCCCTGCTGATATCCCAATAATCCAACAACCCGATATCCCAATATCTCAATATCCCGATGTCTCTACCGATATCCCGATATCCCAATATCCAGATATCCATCCGATATCCCAATATCCCATCCGATATCCCAATATCCCATCCGATATCCCAATATCCCATCCGATATCCCAATATCCCATCCGATATCCCAATATCCCATCCGATATCCCAATATCCCATCCGATATCCCAATATCCCATCCGATATCCCAATATCCCATCCGATATTCCAATATCCCGATATCCCATCCGATATCCCAATATCCCAATATCCCATCCGATATCCCAATATCCCGATATCCCTACCGATATCCCAAAATCCCGGTATCGGGATATTGGGATATTGGGATATCGGAAGGGATATCGGGATATTGGGATATTGAGATATTGGTAGGGATATCGGGATATTGGGATATTGGTAGGGATATTGGGATATGGATAGAGATATCGGGATACTGGGGGTTATCTTACCCAGATAACCACCTCCATCACCGCCCCAGATAATCACCACCCCTAGATAACCACCACCCCTAGATTACCATTGGACCACGACTCAAAGAGTATCTCAGCAGCTAACATTTAATTTTTTGAATTTAATCCGTTGGAATTTTCGCGCCATTCGAAACTTTACTTTCGCTACTTTCACTTCCGTCACGAACAAAATTTTAGGACGGACAGATTTACTTTCACTGCCGTTGCCAACAGACATTCTCGCTTATAATATAGATAGTAACGACATGTTTGAAATTTTGAGTATCATAAATTTATTGTTGGTGTCATATATTTTTACTTACCATCACAGCAATTCAGGGGCTTATTCGCATGTTCAAAGTATTCGAGGCCAATATCCGGACACACTGAGGAAGGCGTTCGTCATTAATGGTAAATAATTATTTTTGCACTCTTAGAAATCCAATAGAAGATTTATACTGACTCGATGCTCATGTACATAACTTCGACTACCATAATTTTAGTGTATTTATGTGTGTTTTTAGGCTACTGTTCGTTAAAAAATACCGACAAAAACCCTTAAATAATTTTGTACCAAGCTCTTTAAGATAACCTCTCGGAGTTTTTTGCCTCTGTTATTTTCACGAGCAATAACTCAAGTTTTATGTCTTGCAAGTAGTAATATAGAATGTGCATTAATAAGTACGTCGAACTATTTGCAACAGAAATCCCGCTTTTCGCCACACTTTGGCGACTCTTGAAGCCCATCAAATCGGAGGAGACGCATTCAAAAATAACATTTCTAGGCTCGGACGAAACCCGCCTGGCAAAATTGTTAAGCCAAGTGGCAGAACGGGACCAGTTCCCGCAAAAATATGGAGGAGACCAACCACTAAATTTTACTGTATAAAAAATTAACAAATTACCATAAATAAATAAAACCCGAAATTTATTGTTGCACAATTTTAAAAAATTCCAGCTCAATATGGACGACTTTGGACTTGCCGACTTCATTTTTCGGAATGGAAATGTCAGATTTTAATCAATTGCGAAAAACGGCTTGAAGGAAATATGTATATTTTTGTGATCCTAGATACATACTTGTTTTATATTATCCAAAACCAAGCTTTCCTTTTTTGAAATTTTTGAAATTTTTTGTACAGTGTGGTTTAAAAGTCAGGTTACAGTGGAAATTTTTCAATGGGAAAAATTAGTAAATTTCCATTAGTTACGGATTTGGGATTGAGATTTTTATTAATTTTTATCAAAATTTATGGAACACTGACGACAAAATTCATAAAATATTGAATTTCAGAGACAAAGTTTCGCTAACTAATGGAGATTTGCGAATTTTTCCATTGAAAAATTTTCCATTGTAACCTGACTTTAAAACCACCCTGTACATACATATTTACCCTGAAATTCTGGCTGGGTAAAAATTACCACTGGAGTTTCCACCTGACCGAGAAAGTTTTCTGCCCAGACGGTGTACTCGTCTGGGCTGTGTTTGCCCGTTCGCGTGGCGAAAAAAGCGGTCACCAGAGTGGTCGAGTGGTTTCCTTGAGATCTTCTTGAACCCGATTTGAAATGTCGGATTTTTTTACCAGTAAGAACCGGTCGATTCCAAGATTTGTCGAGAAGATGAAACGCCACGAAGTAAATTAAGAAGGTAATAATGCAGACTGGAAAAAATAGATAAATACCCACTACATACGTTTATATTCCACTGAAAATGGAATATTCGAAAAAATTCAAAATTTTAAAAAGCTGATATATTTATGTACTGGGTATGATCAAACAAAAATAAGATTCTCCCACAAAAAGAAACACCTCTCCGGATTGACGGACTACGCCTATTATCGAAATTCGTCTACGATTTTACCTCAATAATTATATCCACCAAGTTTCAAGTAAATTAGTCAAGTTTTACAGCCACTCCCACATATGAGACAGGGGTACAGACAGACATTACGGAAATAGAAATCCCGAAAATAAACGACATGATTTTATTCCTGGGATTTTATGGTCCTGGGACTTGATGGTTCTGGGACTTGATGGTTCTGGGATTTGATGGTTCTGGGATTTGATGGTGTTCACTTTCCAGAAATTCCGTCATCACGTTGAATAATTGACGTATGAGGTTGGAGTGGAGCTTTTAATCCACAAAACAAATTGGTCAACCTGTCACTTAAATATATGACTCAAGTGCGGCGTGCAAAATTCCATAGTTCAGCGTAAACAGAGAGGGGGCCGTACATGAAGCACGTAATCGATCTTCACAAATTTGACGCAGCCCCTACTGTGACCTATGTAGTGATAATTGGCATGGTAGGCATAGGATACTTTGACCGCTCAGTTGGATCACATCCTTTTTGTCGAGTCCCTGATGGAGACTTGATTACCTAATTGCCCAATCATTGAGGTAAAGTGTAGTTAGATATAATCAGCCGACAAATTGGAGCCGTTTGATTTTCGAGTCGTATATAACCCCACACTTTCCCATGAAGAGCAGTCAGACGCTGAAATTCAGGCAACACCAAAGCTTAACCCTGCAACAAACTTAATACAAACTCCTCCACTCGTGGATTGGATTGGATTACAGGACAGTCACTTCTTTGTAAATGTCTGTCGCGTAACCAATATTCTGCTTGGTAAGTTGAAATTACGCATAATTATCAATAAGTTGGTACATATGGGTAAGCAATGCAAATGATTTTTATCTAGCATAGATACATATGTAAATAAACAGCTAACAAGGGATACTCGCGAGGTGTCGGTCGTGCTTAGAGTACTATCTATGTTTCTTAGAATCTGCGAGGACGCTAGATGAAGGTTATATTCTTATTTCTGTGTCAACTTTTAGTTGGCGCCGTGCATTGGCGCCAAACTTAAAAATTTGCATTTTCGACAAACTTAGAACCTCCATAACTTTCTCAATTTCCGTGGGATGCTCAAAAATGTATGCTTAAAATGATCACAAATTTTGACATTTTAAGAGAAAAATTACAAATAACAAGTTTCTAATTTCTGAGATATGTTTACGATTTTCTTTGGCGGACCCCTATCTTTAATAAAATTGCAAAAATGTGCAACAGATTCAAAAGCTCAATTTTTTGAAAAACTGCATTTCCCACTTCATGAGTGTCCCATATAAGACACACTATTTTTCAATATGTTCAAACTTCCGGGTTGGATATGATAAGAATAATTAAATAAATTGGTGGCCATTTTTAACCTTGTACTTGGTTTCTTGTAGTCAAAATGAACATTTTGCTTCTCGGGGAGACTGGCGCAGGCAAGTCAACATTCATAAACGGACTCGCCACCTACTTCACATATCCGACGCTTAATGACGCAATAAAAAATCCATTCAATCCAATCATCCCAATTAAATTCGAAGTAGCCGGAAACACCGTTGAGGTTGGGATGGACAAAAATGAAAGCGGCGAAACGGGTAAATCATGCACCCAGCAGCCACGAACTTACGTCATGGGGTGGAACGGATTGGCAGTTCGTATCCTCGACACCCCCGGCATTGGGGACACCCGTGGCGTCGAACAGGATCAAACCAATTTTACCATGATATTAGAGCACGTCAAGCGTTATAACTATATCCATGGCATTTGTGTTTTGATAAAAAGCGGGCAGTCCCGGCTGACGCCATTCTTTCGTAGCTTCAAGCAATCTTCAAGCTTCAAGTATTCTTTCGTAGCATCAAGCAATTACTCGCCCACTTGCATCAAGATGCTATTAATAATATCGTATTCGTAGTGACACACGGGGCCCCCGCATTTGATCCAGCCGTGTCAATTGCAACATTGAAAAGCATGTTACACAAGGATTTGCCAGATGTTAGCATAGAAATAAATGAGAAAACTGTGTACTGCGTGGATAACGATGCTGTCAAGTATTTGGCGCAGAAAGAGGCAGGTGTCAAATTTCAAAAAGAGAAAAGAGCTGCCAATGCAGCTGCAGAAAGTTGGGAAGAAACATATGAACAAATTAACCAATTGTTCTCAGTCTTGCAAATGATGACACCGCACGACACGACAAAAACGTATAGTTTGAATCAGACTAGGGAAATATGTCTTGCATTAGGTGGTCCATTAGCTGATTGTACGAAACGGATTTTGGAAACACAAGCAGATATATGGCAGATGAAAGACGAGGCTTTCAAAACTTTGCAGGATGGCATGCAATTGCAGGCAGGGCAGACCACATCCACCACGATTTATCGTAACGTAACGGACAACGAGAATACGTGGAACGCTTGTGGCTCTGAGAAATGCAGTAGAACCGTGAACGACCGCGGGATGCAAATTTTGATACCCAAATACTGTGCCTCTCAGAAGCGTAGTTTTGTAGATGTGCTTATTCCATCATCAATTTTTAAAATTGGCACAATTGCATCTGCTGGTTTGACAAATGTGCTTCCTGGCTGTCCAACTTGTGGCTGTGGTATGTGGCACCATTTCGTCACATATGAGAAAGTTATAGAGGAGAGTATCCGTATTATTAATCCACATGTGCAACAAATGGTGGCGCAAAAAGCATCAGAGGCCGAGATCAAAAATGCTGTCATTAAGGAGGTGGAGAATAACATTCAAGAGCTTGAGAGAGAGGTTCAGATTATGCGAGAAGCGCAATTAACAGCAAGTCAATTTTTAAATCAAAATTCCCTGGTTCATACAGCAGATGCATATTTGGACAGATTAGAACAGCTTCAGGACGAAGAAAGGTCCAAAAACTCTGACCAAAGTCCAAAGTTCGAAAAACTAAAGAGTCTTGTTCAGGAATATAAAAAACAAAAGGATACCCTGACAGCGAGTCGCAGAGAGGCAGATAAGAAAAGCATTTCCTTGGAAGAGGTTAAATCTTCACTCGCTGAACTCTACGCCCAGCCAAATTATGGAAGGACTATTAAGAAAGAGGTGGAGGACAAGATGATGAGCAATGTAAACGCTCTGGAGGAAATTTTCCATTCTCCAAGCCTAAAACGATATGGATTACCTGACAAACGAATAACAAGTATATAGATTTGTTCAAGCAGGTAGATGTGTCAAAGAACTTGGCCAGAAAATTTCTGAAATGAGTTTAGCCGTTGCTGGTACACCCTATGAAATGTGTGAACACGTTTATGAAATATTTATAAAATAAATATATATGAGAAATAATAAGAGCATTACCTGCATATTCAGGAGTAAATGATGCGTGCGTGTGTATAATCTATATAATAAAACACTCACGACACTTTACTAAATTTATATATACTTAAATAGTTTTTATGAACCAAAATCTATAAATTGTTGAAATATGCTTACAAAGATATATTCCCAGGGATTTGATGCAATAATCATAAGGAAATTGATTACTCCACAAATATGAAGATTCGTCTTAATACGTTTGAGTGTGAATAAATTGATATTATTGTGACATTTACTTACAAATCTTATTTGTGTTGAGACTTTAACAAAACTTTAACAATATAAACCAGTTATGTACCTAAGGGCCCCTTACTGGGTGAAGTCCACTGGGGGGACCTCGGCCACAGTCGGTCACACCTACTTCACCTCTGTTGGCAAGTTTCAGTGCCAAAATTATACATTATATCGTTCACTGGCAATTCTACATATTTATTTACAGTGGTGAGCAAATTAATTTGCAGTACGGATAAAATTTTCTCTATCACAGATTGGCTACGATTATAGTTTTAAAATTCTAAGGATGGTAAGTATTGAGGATTGAAGGAAAGTATTGAGCATCGGGAAATGTTAATAATACTGAAAGGCTAAAAAATGGCCGACCTCTCCATGAGTAATAACATATAAGTTTAGAAATTAACTGCACGGCCAGTGCTTGATGGATTTGGCAAAAAACTGAAAATGAAAGTGGCACCCGGTTTGAAAACCTTGGACCTTGAGGAGAAACATATATCAGATCTTTCACATTCGGCCCACCCCCTCGGAATCCGGGTCACAAGTAAAAAAACAAGTAACACTTCTTTATCGAGTTTTAAAATTCTGCGACTATATTCGACGGACGTGGGGATTAATTCATTGTGGCAGTCGTCAGGTAATCATATTCAGTGACTAGTAGGCCGCACACCCTGCTTTGGAGTCATTGCGGGGGTGGTCTAAGGTCAAATCAAGATTTCAAGTAGCACGACATTTTCCCCCGACGTGGTTTCCGACATTTCACATCCCCAATACACATAATCCTCAATACACGTAATCACAATGTCCCACATATGAAATGAACGACACCCCATTGTCGAAGGTCCTATGGCGACGGGATGTGTGGCTATCGGCGTTTCTGCCAATACATTACCTATGCACGTCATGCGGCATATCAATTTTTAAGGACGCTATGAAGATTTCAATAGCGTTGTTCAAATTTAAAAAGCCACGCCCCTTGGGGTTGTCAGTATCAAATGAATCAACTCAAACAGGGTCATGCGACATATCAATTTTGTGAGCTAGTCACGCGCAATTACTTGAAACAGCAGTTTAAAATTTAATAAAGAACCAACAAATTAACCACTATTTCAATTTCCAAACTGAAGATTGCCAAAATTATTTTGGTACGAATAATAAGTTTATGAAACGTGAATACTTAAAAGTGTCACGAATAAAATTTGTGAAAAAAACTTTCCGATTTTTCTTAGATATTTGAGAGTTGTATTTTGGAAAGTTTAGGTTACCATATTCAAGTCTGGTATGTAGATTTTAATATATCCAGGGTTCTGGGGTGGTTTGTTTTTTTGTTTTTTTTTCAGTATGGACTATAATTAGTAGGTTAAGGAGGTTCCTCTTTGGCTTCCACCCGTGCACCACGTATCTCTCTCTCGCTGTGCATCTGGATCCTCTTCCATCTGGGTCGCGGGTGTGCCAGGGCAAGTAAAGTGTGTCCCAAGGCCTTATCGCCATGTGACCCTCGTCCACTCACACCCCCCACCTGCGTGCCTGGCGACACCCCCTGCCACACCCGTCCCAGCAACGACAAGCTGAGCCATCAGGCGAAGACGGATTTCGCCGGACTCTGTGCACGGGAGGATCTACGCCAGGAGGACTCCCCCAGGTAGGTCATTGTTTGGTATGTCGGGGTGGTGATCGTGGGGGGTGGTTGGTGGAAGGGTGAGGACGGGGTCGTGCATGGTGGTGGGCAGCGTAGTCGGGGCTACGGGGGTCCCATGACCCGGATGTGCTGCGAGGGGTGATGGGGCAAGTGGGTAGTGTCGCTCGGCCCTGGTCATAATGCATGACCGTGAAGGGGACACGTAGCCCGAGCCCGAAAGGGCGCTAGGGTATTTCGTGGTCCGTGGATGCCCCGCCCAACAACCTTCACTCGTCTTGCTTCCGTCTTCGCGACGCCGTCCTCATTTGGATATCACCACTATCTCTCGGAATCTGCCTATGATCTCTATCATTCATTTGTCCTGCCTGGGTGTGTGTATGTAGTTGGAGCCGAATGGACCTCTGGGCCACATCCTAGAGGTGATAGTGGTTTTCCTAGCTCTCCACCATAGCTAGGGTTTCCCACTATTCCTCCACTACGCTACTCTATTAAATATTTACATATCTAACTCTGTACATAATTTCATGTAATGATGAGGGCCCCGGCCATATCAAATGAGAAATAAAGCTATCTATCTATCAATCTAGTAGGTTAAGGAGTTACCTTCTGTAATTTACTTTTATCCATAACGCAGAAAGGGTGGCAAATATTCATCGGTTGGATTTAAGCCATTTTTTCAACTAAAACTAAATTAGTAGTAATAGTAGTAGTATGCATTTAGTAGTAATGTGCCATAGATTCTTGGTAGTGGATAGAACATTAATGAAATGAACCACGCTGTTGAGCCGCTACCGGATTTCCAACGAATCAAATTTCTCTTTATTACGCAATAGCTGTCTTATGTGGGTATGTTACTAACAGGGTAAAAATATTATCGGCAATAAAATTGTAGCGAATAAGAATTGCAATCTCTCTAACTTTGCCGATTGGTCCGTTTTTCCAGAATTTCACTTACGACCAGATCCCAGAGAAGCGGTGAGAGGACACCCCCCTGAGGGCACCCTCTCTCCACCACCCTCCCAATCTCGTAAGTAGAGTCAGTTACCCAAGTGGTTCGTGTCCGAAGCATATGCTCAATATATCGAACACATACTTCATTGACGCCAAACCTCCTAAGGCTACGGATAATGGTATTAGATCTAACCTCATTGAAAGCGCCCTTGACAACCAACATCGCTGCAATGCAGTACTCGCCAGAGTCAAGGGCCCCCTCAACAAGGCTAACAATCTGATGAAGGGCAGCCTCCGTGGAAACGCCCTTCATATAGGCATACTGACTGTGTCTCTGCAGCCTATCAACAAGATCAGGCGTGCGGACCCAACCATCTACCAATTTCTCGAGTGTTTTGAGCAGGAAGGATGTTAAGCAGATGGGCCTCCAGGCGGACGCCCGTTCGTAACTCTCCTTACCTGGCTTTGGTAAGAACACCACCCTGGACTCTCTCCACTTCAGAGGTGTATAGCCGAAGGTCAAGCACCCCCTCATTAGAGGAACCAAATACGGAATTAACTCGGCTAGCCCATGCTGTAAAAGGGCTAGAAAGATACCATCCTTTCCAGCCGCTTTTAGTGGGCCAAACGAGTTAATTATGTTACTGATTTTAGAAGATGTAACCATCAGATTTATAGATTCATCGTCTACTTTACTATGGTCAGGTTCCCATGGAGCCCGTTGAGGGTCCGTCGGGAACGACTGATCCAGTAATAGTTCATAGGTCTCAGAAAGGGTCCTGGTGTAAACACCATCACCCTTGTCCAGTGATCCCAATTTGATTGTGCCATCGTTGCGAAGGATGCGCGAGAGTCGGGCAGCAACAGGTGCCTCCTCGACACTCTCACAAAACCTTCTCCACAAGGCGGTTTTGCTCCTCCTCAATTCGTAGGAGTAGTAGTTACGAGCAGCTTTGTTTTCCGCCGATGCCTCCTCTCCTCCAAAGCGTGCAACCCGATAAAGCCTGCGAGCCTCCTTCCGAAGAGAAGTCAGCTCACGGCTCCAACAAGGTACCCTCTTCCTCCTGGATTTGAGTACTTTTACAGGGCAGGCCATATCGTATGATTTATGAATAAAGTCACTGACCCTACTAGCACCTGCCTCAATCTCCTCCGTGGATGACATTGGGCATGCCCTCGCAGGGTCAAGTTCCGTTAATCCTTTCAATTCTGATTTCCCACCTTGTTCTCTTCTTGTCCCTATAGATGATAGGGTCAGGGGGACCAAGGCTTAGGCTGGTCCGAATATACCTGTGGTCGGAGCAACTTTCGTTATCATCAACCCACCAAGCTTTTATCCGGTCCAGCAAATGGGAGGATACAAATGTAACATCTAATACTTCTTTCCTACTCGATACAACAAAGGTGGCTCTGTGTTCCCTATTAATGTCGTGCAGATCCACCTGTGCAATGTAATCCAATAGTTGTGCACCCCTGCTGTTAATATTGGTGCTACCCCACATGGTGTGGTGTGCGTTGGTATCACTCGCTATCACCAGAGGTAGACTGTTGGTCTCACAGTATGAGACCAACCGACGCATCTCCTCTGGGGGGCATGCATAATTTCTATCCATGTATACTGAGGATATGACTACCTCTCCAATACCCCCCCACTGGGTACGGATGGCTGTGACATCTCCACAGCATAAATCAAGCAGGGGCCACACTTTGATGTTCCTACTTGTAATAATACATGATCTACTGGAGTGGGCATCCCGACAAAAATAATGTAGGCTGCCACAACCCCCCAGACCACGTATTTTGCCTTTGTACGGTTCTTGTATTAGGCATATATATGTCTGCAACTCTGCTAGGGTACGACACAGAGAAGTCGTACCCTGTTTCGAGTGTTGCAAGTTAATTTGCACTAAGTTCACACTTTTGGTTGTCATATTGAAAGATGACAACCCGGTTCGAAGAGATGTAGATGAGTGTGATGGTGTATTATTAGTGATGTTATTGTTAGTCATGGTTAGTGAGGGTTTGACACGAAGCTAATTTTGGAGGGGTGTTTCAGTTACCCGAAACACCAACTCATCAAAATAGTAATTAAATTCGGCGGGCGGTTTTAGGGCCGCCACACCAGATTTAGGAATGCGACTAAAACAGACAAAACCTTGACCTGACCTTATCGAATGGGTCATTCTCCAAGTGGTCGTGTCCATGCCCATGTTGAGCCGAGAGATGGTAGGGAAGAGTACTTTGGCCAAAGGTGGTGTCGCCTCCCTGACCCAAAAGCTCACTTTGTATCAGTAAAGTAAGCATGTCTTCTATTTGTTTAATTCGTGTGCGTATTTATCTACTGAAAGTAAAGTATGAATATACATATGTAATTACGTGCATATTTGCTCCCGAACGCGTGGAGAAGCTTTACTTCCATAATAACCTCATTATTGGAGTTGGTAGCAATTATACATCTATAAAACTTTTATGGACAAGTTTACTTTTCAAGTATTTAAGGTTCGACACCACACAAATTCTATTCAAGGAAATTAACTGGACATAAATTTACCAAAATTAGTACAAAATAAAAAGAAAAGAGTTAGGGGCATGGTTAGTATTAAATACTTGCCGAACGACTAATTAGCAGTGTTACTCTGATAAAAAAATTTACCTCGAAAAAATTTCAATGCTTTTGGGCCACAAGTTTTCAAATGCCTATTGCCAACACACATTTGGAACAATTACATCAACACTCCTAATTAATCATGTGTATGACTTGAGAGTAAATACACTAACAAAACCCGTAATGGATTCGTGGAAACGGCGATATCGACTGTTTATCCAAAGGCGGGGGGAACACATTGAACAAATTCATTGACGCTGACTAAAGTTTTAACGCGAGTTTTAATATCCGTCCAAATCGGATAGTTAATCCTCCGTAGAACGATTTTACCGCCTAAATCATAGACTTTAATACATATATATATACACGGTCCAAATTCAATATTATTTTGGCATGGTAAAAAAAATGCATTACATAAGCTCAGGGTTGGATTTAATATTAACATATTTATTTACAGCACATCCATCTCTTTAATTGTACAGAGGATTGCTTGATTTTATGTAATTTTTGTTGCCATTAATTGGCACTCATCAGAATCAGATCTCATCACAAAGAATCAGATTTCGATCCATAAATGCCACCCTTGTTGTTTTGTTGGAATTAAACTACTCCAAGAAATGTAACTAGTGCAATTTCATTTTCAACTTCCGGTATATTGCAAAGACACATACATGTAAGTGCATTATGTATTTAGTAGAAAATATGTAAAACAGGTAACACTAGTGTGGTCAAAGGTTAGTATGGTAGTATGCATAACAGTAGAGAAAAAATCCTTTTAAGTGAAACACATTATCATATCAAAATTTACAAATCTAACTCGCGGCAACTATGTTCAAATTCAAGTATTTACATACATATATGTACGTACACGGCGCTTACATACAGGGTAGTTCAAATGTCACGCTACAGTGGAAAATTTTCCCATGGGAAAAATTCCTAAATCTCCCTGAGTTAGCAAAATTTTGCCTATGAAATTCGACATCTTGAGAATTTTGTCATCAATTTTAATATTAGAGTTGAATAATCAACAAAAATTTCAATCCCAAATCGTGGTAAGTAATAGAGATTTACGAACGTTTCCCTTTGCAAAATTTTCCATTGTAGCGTGACATTTAAACCACCCTGTACACAGGGTTGCTTTTGCATTCATACTTTAGTATGCCAACAAATTTATGAATTTGTGAATATTCGCGCATCACTATCTTAAGAAGTTTGCGTTGAGTCATTACATATTAATTAGGGTACCAACATATGTATCTACAGAACTGGTACGTAATAATAAGCATCGTCGCCTAGTAATGTTATTTTAATGACAAATTTATCGTTAAGAAACAAACTTTAGTACTAGTCCCCATGACTCATTTTTTATCAAATGAAGAAATATGTCAATATTTGAAAATTTTTTCTATTGATCAAGAGTTTTTTTAGAAATCATGCAATATTTTTTACCATGGCATCTTTACTATTACTGGATGAAATTATTCATCCCGACAAAAAGTTTCTTATTAAACACTAGAGAAGAGTACACTCTAAATAAATTTGTGCAAAACCTACCCAATCCTGAGTTACACGGAGGATAGCACAAAAATTGAGTAAAATTTATCCAACCGTTGTGCAAGATTTACGTACGCAGCACGGAACAAATTTTCCAATTTTTGTGTCATCTTTTTTCCTTCATGTTGAGAACATTTTACACTTTTATTATTTATTTAGAGTGTGGTTTTTAGCACGTAAGCATTCAAGTTGCTTGCACATATTATTTCAAGTACTTACAACATTTTCGTGAAAAACTGCTCGTACGTCAGAACGCAGCCAACCACATTTCAGAAGCAAGTACAAATACACGTGTATTTATTAAATACATATTTGTCCAGTAATTATTAGACCTTGGGTACACGACTTACGTTTTAATCTTGACGTAACTTAATCAAATGTATGTACATAATAAAATCTAACGTATCATCAGTGCAAACATCGATACAGCGTTGACACAGGGAACGTTCACATATTACGTCATGAAAATAACGCGGATTTTAAGACCACCCACCCACCCATTGTCTCACTATCGTACATACTCATGTTAAGCTTACCTTAAGATATGCACCACAAAACCACCAACCCAAGCTTTTGGTGACGTAATATGCGGACGTTCCTTTGCACGTAGAACAACCATCATTTCTACCGGGTATAAATACAAGTGTCATACGTATCATAATTTGTCGTTAAAGCCAAAGTTGAAACCCAGCTCGTGAAATTAATTAATTTTAGTGAAAAATTTCGATAATTTGAAGCCGTAATTTATCATGGGCTCGAAATGTGTCCTGGTCCTCGTTTGCTTCGCAATGGTATGCATATCTATTTTTACCATATTTTACTTACAATTTGACAAAATTACGGAATTTAGGAAAAACTATTCTATTACCATACGGTGATAAATTGATTAAATTGCACACAATAAAAATACAAATGTTCTGTGCTCCCGTGTAAAATTTAACCAGATGTCCTGCCGAAATTTAGCCAGATTTCCTGCAGAGATTCAACTCTTCCTTCCAGCCTTCAGAGCAATTTCTGCATAAAATTTACACAATTGTGTATAATTATGCATAAACTGGTCTGCATAATAAATCCAATCGAAATAAATTTTCAGCATAATGCAACCTTTCCCGTAGATGGGATTATCACGAAATTGGTTTAATTGCGTTTGTATATAAATACAAATTCCTTATATTTGGGAAGATGAGAATGAAACTCATTGAATTTTGAAAAGCCAATTAAACCAAGTACTTGAAAAAAATGTTGCGAGCTGGCCGGAATCGAACCGGCAACCTTTCGTTCTGATCACTACTGAGTTACCACTTTCCCCACAAAGCCCTGTGTGAATGGCTGGTGTATTTTTCTTGTACTTGGCTGATGCGTATTTTTTAAAAACGGGAGGGATTTTCATCCTCTTCACCCCGTCTTTATACCATCAAGTGAGAATTTAGAAAGAGGAGACCGCAGAGTTGAATTGTAAATATTGATTTGAAAATTGCGGTAAATGAGCGAATTATTTGGGAAGATGAGAATGAAACTCATTGAATTTTGAAAAGCCAATTAAACCAAGTACTTGAAAAAAATGTTGCGAGCTGACCGGAATCGAACCGGCAACCTTTCGTTCTGATCACTACTGAGTTACCACTTTCCCCACAAAGCCCTGTGTGAATGGCTGGTGTATTTTTCTTGTACTTGGCTGATGCGTATTTTTTAAAAAATACGGCCAGCTCGCAACATTTTTTTCAAGTACTTGGTTTAATTGGCTTTTCAAAATTCAATGAGTTTCATTCTCATCTTCCCAAATAATTCGCTCATTTACCGCAATTTTCAAATCAAATTCCTTATATTCCCGTATAAAAATTTGAACAGCTTATCTGCCGAAACTTGGTACAGCAGAAGAACTATATGCAGAGCAATACGCGCACTCTGACCAATGGAACTAATTGCACACAATAAATAAAAAATTCCTGTAATCCCGTATAAAAAATTTTCCTGAAAAAATTTATACAAATTTTCCGTAGAAGAACTGTATGCAGAGTGATCATACACACACTCCGAATTATGGACAAGTTGTTCTGTAGAATTAACTCGATACACAGGGTGGTTTAAATGTCAGGTTACAATGGACAATTTTTCAGTAGGAAAAATTTGCAAATCTCTATTAGTTACGAATTTGGGTTTGAGATTTATATTAATTTTTATCAAAACTTATGGAACACTGATTACAAAATTCTTAAAATATTGAATTTTAGAGGCAAAATTTCGATAGCTATTTAATGGAGATTTGCGAATTTTTTCCATTGAAAAATTTCCCACTGTAACCTTACACTAAAGCCACAATCTATATAAATTTACTGCAGAAAAACGCAAATTCTTCCTGCAGAAAATGATTTTAGCGACCATTTATTTATCCTGCACGCGTTCTTCACACCTTCTTAATTTTGTACTATATTTCTAGACGCTATGTTCCCAGAGCAAAATTTTTGTGAGTGGGTCACCTCAACCGGAAGTACCCGCTAAGGCTTCGCTCTATCCGCTTGGAGATTCCCGGATCCAGTCGGATTTGCTTCTCACCGCGGCATATGGGGCATCCCAAGGTAGCCACGGGATCAATAAGCGTGCCACGTACTACTACGTGGTCACTTCTACCTGCGGTGGGTTCACGGCCTCCCAGTGCAGCAGGGCATGCGGGGCGCGAGGCCGGGCTTGTTACGTCTGTGGAAGGCGGTATTGCAACTGTGGAAATGATTTTTGTTGAGTATTAAATATTCAGCTGGTTATCTTGTAAATTTATTGCATTTAATAAAAGTACGAAATAAACAAATATGTTGAAGTTTTCCTGAGTAAAGCGTAGCACTCAAGCAGGGTTGCAAGTGGTATATATCACCTAGTGAGATTTGGTGAGATTTAATGATTTATATCAATCATCTCAGTTGGGGCTAAGTGAGAAATATGAGAAATAATGAGCTAAACTTGTAGTTCATGACCCTGTCCGCTAGGTGGCGCTAGTGTATGACCCACAAATCTCACTATCTCTCATATTTCTTATGTCTCACTATTTCTCATTATATCTCAGTGAGATGAGATTTATGAAGATGAGTTGAGATTTCTGCAACCCTGCACTCAAGGGGTCATCCATATATTATGTCATCAAGAATTTCCGATCTTATCACCCACCCACCCGACGTATACAGTGAGGGATAGAGAAGTTTAACGTGGGAAAGATAGAGCGACCTCAATCTCCCACCCACTAAAATGATGACGTAACTTATGGACGTTCTCAAGACGGATTTTTCATGACAAACAACACCTTATATTCTTTATTTTAAATTAAGTACTTCTAGACAGGAATTTTAATGAAATTTGGTGGTAACTGCTAATCATACATATGTGTCACCGATTGATACTGGTTTGCTTAAAATCGGGGAGCGTACAGTGGGAGATCTCCGCAATTAGCAAAAAATAAATTAAGAGTAGTAATTAAGAGGAGTAAAACGATTGCCTGAAGCCATCAATCTTACATCTGAGCTCTATTCTCTTAAAAAATAAATAATATTTCTTAAAATTTTCCATATAGTTTTATTCATTTTTTTCTGACATAAATATTCATGTAACAGAATTTAGAAACAATTTACTTGCTGAATTACATGTACATATTTAGCGGCCAAAATCTTATAAGTATTTTCGTGATTTGAGGTATATCATATAAAGATTTGCGTAAATACATATACATTTTTATCAGTTTGTAAATTTCTAGATATGAGCAATCACTACCTATTCTGCATATATGTAATTTAAATAGGTTTAGTCAACGATAACGCACTATTTATTATTGTCTACACCACAAACAGCTATAGAACGAACCATCTACATATATTTCTACTCGAATTGTAAAGGAACAAGAAATAAAATGCATGAGGAGGTCAAACTCCTTCAATTTCCGTCATAATACCCGTACACACCTAAAGCTCTTGACTCGCCTCGTTCACAACTTCCGCTGTGACGGGGACCGTGCTTCCGGAGAGGAACGTGCTCGGAACAATGGTCCAGGCAAGGGTGTATTGCAATCCTGCCTCAACGAAGGAGTTTGGCACGACAGCGTCAATGATGGGAATGATCGCCCCGTTAAAGAAGGCGCTGATCTTGAGACGAAGCGCGTCAGCGGCAGCAGCAGGAATAATGTCGCCTTGGCAAGTGTACGAAACTCCAGGAGTCATTCGGGCAATGGCGCCCTCACAGTCGCTGATTCGCATTTGGAGAAAAACTCCACGCCCACCTGTGAATAAAAGAAATAACTAGAATTAAGCTATGTATAGCAAATGAGTTTTTAAAACTCATTATTACGCGTCTGGCGCCGCCCAAATCCCTTTGGGCGGGAAAATTAAAAGTCCAAGAATTTTCTTGAAATAAATAGCATAGGCTACATAAAATTTTGTTATTAGAGTAAAATGTAAAAAAATAGACTATCGCCAATCCAACGAGTTCAAATACTTTTCGCGGTAAAATAGTAATTATATCAAACGCCGATAAAACTGTTTAAAAAAATAATTGATTCCTTCTTGTAGACATCCGAAGCATAGAGAACATTTATGCAACCCAAATTTAGCGCCAGTTTAATTTGCCCGGTTAAAAATTATTTCTCAGCACAAAACATACTTCGAAAATTTTGTTTTGGTGCTAATGCGGTCAATCCAAGTAATTTTAAGAACTTTGTTTCTTCCCGCCTAAAGTGGTTTTGTGCGTGCTAGGTGCTCAAGGAGCAGTTTTTACACATTTTAGCCTAACGACTAAATTATTTGTAACCTATGTCACCAATTGAAACAAATTTTGCGAAGATTTGTTTTTCCCGCCAAAACTGCCACTTGAGGAACTTTGCGCGAGATAATCAATTTTGCCAATTTTCGTACTATTATGCAAGTGCTACTCTATGTTATGTCAAACCTTCCATCTTATTAAAATTAGGCGTGTTGGCTATTTTTCGGCTATAATAGTTTAAGCAGGAGAAAGTTTCAAAATTTCAAAAAAGCTAGCGGTCAATAGGGACGAACGGTCTGGGGATATGCGTCTCCCAGGGGTGACCATGCAATTTTTCGCATTCCGAACCCTTGGAGCGCAACAGAGTGGGAGGTCCAGCACCCTAAGCTAGTGGGCTCACACCCCCTACTATAACCTACCGAAACGCCTCAGACGCTCCCCATAAATATTTTCTTACTCCGTCCCCCAGGTCAACAGGTTAATAATGAAATCGGACCTCGAAAACAACTTTTTGCCGTAAGCCCGACGACGAATCCTGACATTTTTATTAATCAGATCAATTCTTACCGCAAACCTGATGATCAACAATTCCTCCATGAACCAAGACAACAGCATAAATTTGCAACAGAATTGCAAATGTCTTCATTGTTCAGGCCGAGTTTTCCGAGTCGTTAGGTCCTCGAATGGTGGAATATTACACTGATTATCACCCGCTCAGTCGTCTGACTTATATAGCTCAGATTTTACAAGTATTGCCAAATAATTGATCCCCTCGTATGTATTTACTGCACCAGGCGCTTGGTTGATTTGAGAGTGATAAAACTCCATTCCGTGGTGTATGCAAATTTAGAGTGCTTGAATTTATTGCAGTGGGATTAGCATAAATATGGGAAAACCAAAACTCATCTCGGTAATCAATGACTTTATTGCTTAATACACTCTAAGAAGCTGGGTATTGATTCTTAAAAAATATCAATACCAGCAAATAGTATTAACAGTTATTACTATTATAGTACTAATGTGCAGTTTTAAAATAATACTGATATTTAAAAAATTAATACCAGTAGAGTTTAAAACTTATTTAATACTGTAAAGTATTGATCAATACTTTTCCAGTATTGAAATTATACCATGTTTTTAATGACTCAAGTTTGTCCGTTACCCCACGCGTACCCGGCACATTCAACTCAGCAATTCGTCAACATGAGCTCCACAAAATTAGTTCGAGTATCAAATTCTTTTACATCAAAAAAATTAATTCCAAGTGACGGAAATTTTGAGGATTTTGTTACTTCAGGTAAGAAAATTTTAAATTTACACACGATTTACTTATGTTAATAACTTATATTACATATATTTAACAATATTTTAACCAACAATCTTAATTATTTTTTCTAGTGCGAACGAAATTCGATTTAGGGAACGAAGTAATTATCCGACTTGAAGATGATCAGGGGGCAGAGGTGGACTCGGATGTTTTTCATATTTTATTAGAAATTGAAAACATTCCAAATATAGTCTTTAAGTTGGGTGGAGAAGAATCTCATCATATAACAATTAATTTGAATCCTGACGACAGGAACAGCTCTTCAAGTACCGAGTTAATGTGTGAGCTTTTTAGTCGTATATTTATATTCTTAAATGTCTAAATATATAAGTACATAAATATTTATTTACTTTTCAGTCACCCATTCACCATCATCCAAAATTCAACGGCTGGAACAGGATGGTTTTAATCAGGTAAAAATAAAATTATTAATTACCCACAGTTAAAATATTATTATTTATTATTTATTTTAGGTGCTGGGTAATTCAATTAATGATAATCAAGAAATTAGCAGAGTTGTAGCAGATTGCAACACAAAAGGGTTTGTCGATGACAAGTCAGCTGTGATTCTTGTGCAAGAATTTGTTTCAAAACTTGTGGAGCTAAAAGGGTAAGAAGTATTTATTTGTATTTAAAATTCCTCCATAAAATATTTAAACTTGATTTTTGTATTTTTTGTAATTTTAGTGAATCTCCAAGTTCTTCTGACCAAAAGAATTTGGCGTCAGCAATTATTCAATATATTCCATGTTGGCGATACGCTGGGTCAACTGAAGGCTTGGTAAACCATATAACTTTTATAAATAATTAATTCATATTTAATTTTCGTAATTAAATAATTTTTATTGCATTGCAGGATATACTTTTTGATGAAATTGGACGGTCAGGACTAATCCAACGAAGATTGAGGACAATTCACCAAAAACTGAAAACCACTGAAAAAAAGAAGGAATTAAGGGCAAAGAAGACACAGCTTGGAACTGGCGGACCTAAACCTAAAACTGCAAAACTGGATGACAACGTTGACAACGGACAATATGACGAGTTAGTTAGGAGTTTAAATGGCAGCAGTGCAAAATCGGGATCCGCAGAAATAATTAAACTGGCGCAAGACACCCTCGAGCACAGAAATTACTTACGACGAGTCAATCCACAATCAATCCTGCTGGTTTATACAAAATTTGCGGACTGCGACTTTTTAGTATAATCCGATTAAATCAATATTATTTGTCAGTATTTTTAATTATTTGAGTTAAACATTAATTTTTATTTATGTTAGATCCGCTTGGAATTTTCTCTTCTTCAAGGAGAATCACAAGAAAACTTTACAAGAATTTGGCCGTCATTTTCCTCACAGCTGCTGGAGAAAGTGAAAGACTTAAAGCAATCCCCGTCTTTATGTGAATTTCTAACAGAGGAGTCTGGTTTGCAAAATACTATTTTTTAAAAATTTGGTTTATTTAAAACAAAGTTTTCCTTGAAATTTATCAAAATTCGTTTTATTTTAAAGATAATTGGGACTCTGAAGTAGCAGCACTCTTCGTTCTTCTTTATTTAATCCCCCCAGCTGCCCAAGGGAGAGGAAAAGGGAGTCGGTGTACAATTGATGAAGCAAAGAATTTGCTGATCTCATTTTATAAGGTACATAATGACTTTTAAATTAAAATGTATTCTAACTATTTTAATTATTCAAATTGTTGTTATGAATTTAATAACATTTTTTTTCCAGACTGCAACTCCTCTACCATCCATCCTGGATACTTGGAGCGAGGATAAGAGACAACCAAACCTTTTGTGTCTTGGAGAAAACAAGAAAACACTTTCTTCCTTTTATCTCGTTGTAGATAAAGTACTGCTGCCAATTGACGCTAAGAATTCTGCACAAGCAATTGACCTCCTCTTCAAATCACACTACGTCTTCGGAGCAGAATACGACAAGAACTTGCAAGGCCTATGGAAATTTCTTCAAGTTTATATTTATAAGGTTGACGTGGACAGTACTGATCTTTCGGGAAAGGTGAAAAGTGTTTTTACTCAATTAAGTAATATTTTTAATAATCTCATTTAAAAAAATGTTTACTTGCCCAGTCTGTCAGATATTAGTTTTAAGGGCGAGTGAGTTTCAAACTCATTTAAAATTTGTACATAATTATGGACACAGTAATTTTCCTCAATTAATTTGCCCTTTTAGTTCATGTAATATAACGTTAGGGACATGGAGTGGATTTTTACGTCATGTAAAGTCACACGATAAGTTTCTAGAAATAGGCTCCCAGATACCAAATCTATTTTTTGAGCCAACTTTAAATAGTTCCAATTTTAGTGAAGCTCAACAAGAGATTAATATTGACTTTGAGGATCCCAAAACTTTTGAAAATATCTCCGTTGATACTGGTATCAAAATAGTTTCAGAAATTTTAGGTAATTTCTGTTCCTCTATAATTGCAAGTGGTGTTAATAACTCTGTAATGGATGTAATTGTAAAAGAAATGGAATATGTATTTGTAGAAATTATTAACTTAGTTACTAAATTAGGGAAACAAACTTTAGGTGAACAATTTGACATGGTTGCTATACAAATACGCTCATTAGTATCTGGTTTTGTTAAAGTTAAGTCCAGCTATCAGAGGCAAAACTTGTACCAGAGCAGAAATAATTTAATTTTACCAACTGAGATAAGTTTAGGGAGCAGAATAGACTCTAAAATTAAAGATGCAAAAAGACAACAAGTAGTCGTGGAAGATACGTTTATGTACGTACCTCTGCTGAAAACACTTGAAAAAATAATCCAAATTCCACAATTATACCAATATTTCGAATCTATTTCAAAACCCAATGGACAAATTTTTAAGGTCATTTAAAAATAACAAACTCTTTTCTAAATATCCACAATCAATCCAGTTACAATTATTCTATGATGACTTTGAAACAGTTAATCCTTTGGGATCTAAAAAAGGGATCCACAAACTTGGGGCGCTTTATTTTATTTTACGTAATTTGCCCGATTATATAAATTCTCAACTTTCGCAAATTCATTTGTTAGCTTTGTTTTATAGTGAAGACGCAAAAAAATATGGTTATGGGTCAATTTTAAAACATGTTTTACCTGACATTAAGATTTTAGAAACGACAGGAATTTCAATTGGGGGAAATATTTTTCGAGGCACAGTTTGTTCTGTCGTTCACGATAATTTGGGTGGAAATTCGTTACTTGGTTTAACAGAATCATTTAATTCTAATTTTTTCTGTCGAATTTGTTATATTTCAAAGGCTGAAATCCAAAATGAATTTGACCATAATTATATGCCGATACGAAATTTGACCAATTATAGTTTACATTTAAATTCAGAAATAAATTCGCTTCAATTTTACCATTTTCTAGATTCTCCAACAGCTGACATAATGCATGATCTCTTGGAGGGAGTCGTGCCATATGAAATTAAATTAGTTTTCAAAAAATTAATTAGTTTGGGATGTTTTAATCTTGAAACAGTCAACAACAGAATCTCCGCTTTTGATTTTGGATATTTAGAATCGAAAAATAAACCAAGTCCAATAAAATTAGATGGAACTGGAAATAGAATCGGTCAAAAAGCTGCGCAAGCTTGGTGTTTAATCAGGTTTTTACCAATGATTTTGGGAGATTTAATTGTCGATGAAGTCCATTTAAAATATTGGGATTTAATTTTGCAATTATTAGAATGCATGAGCTTTATATTTTTTCGATCTTTTAATGAGTCATCAATTTTAACTTTGAAATCGCTTATAATTAAACACCATTCGCTCTTTAAATTTCTATTTCCAGATCAAAATTTGCTACCCAAACACCATTTTATGTGTCATTATCCATTTATAATTAAAATGTCTGGCCCTTTAATTTCTCTATGGACAATGCGGTTTGAAGGAAAACACAATTATTTTGCTCAATTGGCCCATAACAATAGAAACTTTAAAAATATTTGTTTTTCACTTGCCATGAGGCATCAGCAATATAGTTCGCATGTTTTCAAAAATTTAGATTTCCATCATGGAATTAAGACTGACAAAATTTGTAAAGCTACTATGTCTGAGTTTGATGATTCCTTCGATATTGTAGAATCATTAAAAAACTATTTAAACGATCATGATATCTGTATTAAAACTGAAATGATGACAACAAATCAGATTTGGTTCAATGGCTACAATTATAAACACAACTTTGTGGTTTGTTTCGAAATGGGAACAATATTTCCAAAGTTTGGAATAATTTCTGAATTTCTGATTCAAAATGATAATTCATGTCTGCTTATTCTCAAAGTTCTGGAAACTGAGTTTTTTTATCGCCATTTATTTGCTTATAAGGTTAGAGTAACTGAAAATTTGTACAGAGTAATAAATGTAAAAGATCTAGTAACACATGATGCGATGGAGATTAAACAAAATTGTAATTTGTCAGGATTATTTGTAATTTCTAGACATTTTTTGTAGTAATATTTAATTGTAAGTTATATATATATATATATTTCATGAAACTTTGTCCTGTAAAGTAGTAATAGTTATAAATAATTTTATTTATTTATTATAGCAGTAATTTTTATTTTAAATTTGTTAAAAGTTGTAATTTATTGAAAATAAAATATGATTATGTACAATGCATTTTATACCATCAATTAATGATTTAATACCGTGCAGTATTATTTTTCATTATAAAGGCATCAAATTATAGTATTATTTATAATACCGGGCAGTATTATCATGTTTTGACGTTTTAATACTGTACATTTAATAATCAATACCGAGAGTTACAAGACGATTTATACTGAAAGTTCATTGTTTAATACTATAAATTAATAAAGTAATACCGCGGCAGTATTACTCATAATAATACCGCAGGGTATTATATCAATACCAAAACGGTAGAGTCACCATATAATACGGCCGTGGTATTAAAATGGTATTGATTTTATTAAGAGTGTACTTAACTTCCTGGTTCTCATCGTTTTATTTATTTTTATATGTACACATATTTTGTGGCTAGGTTGGTTTTACTTTCAACTTGAAATGTAGGCAGAATAACAAAATTTTAATTAAAACTAAAAGCACTGTGCGGATTAAGAAAATAAACGAGTACTTTCTCCCTGGGGGATCTGCCATCCATATTATACATACTCCACTTTGCCCTACTGACTTACTTTCCCTGCCCGCACGCATCATTGGATTTAACTCAATCCCAGATACAAATTGAATTTGTAACCAACTTTGCATTTAAATTTGGTCGGGAAAATGATTAGACAATTTTGCAACGTGGACTGGATTCGTCTAATTTTCTCTTGATTTGAATATCGATTTCGCCAAATTTTCCAAATGTACTTCGAATACAATTTACTCTTCAAATAGAGTACAAGATTTTAGAGAAAGTTTATACGTAGCCATTACATAAATACGGACAGACAGGCGGGCAACCCGGGTACATAAGCCCTGGGTCGGGATAAAGACTTCGATTCCGTATAAAGGATGTACACACGACATGATACGCCTACTCATATTTAGCCTTTTGAGTAGAATTCTCTAAATAAACGAAAACACAAAAAACATGATCGCTTTCCTCAAAAATGTTTTCCATACATAAACTCCAGTTTTTTTCAAATAAATATCTTCCCCTTGTCATAAACAAAAACAATATTGCCCAACTATCGTGTGAAGAGTTAATAAATATGGAAAGAGAAAAGCCGTTGCACCACAAACTCATGTATGGTAAACTGACTGCAACGTACACTACAGACTTTCCCTCAAACTATTATGACAGGATCCATCGAGATAAATGGACAGTCATTCACTCACTTATTCCTCGTAATGTTCCCGAAAGAACTTTGAATCGATTTCGTTCCATCAAAGTTTTGCTGAGAAAAAGCGATTGGATTTTGTACGTCACGGAGCACAATGTACATATATGTATGTACGTACATCACAATCATTACCGCATGTTGTGGAGCTAAATTAAATTAGAAAGTTAAGAATTGAGCCGAAATGAAATCGATATGTCTAGAAGTTTTCGTAATTATTTTGTTATAGAGGAAGAGATTTATGATGTTTAGTTGAAATTGGCCTGGTGATCTTATGCTTAGGCGCCGTTCATAAATTATGCAACGCGAGAGAGGGGGGGACCTAAGGCTCCAATGATATCGTGCCTATGTTGCACATGTTAAAGGGGGGGAGGGGGGTCTAGAAAATCGCGATTTTTGCGTTACGTAATTTATGAACGACGCCTTATTAGATGAAGTTTTATATAAGGGCATAACTTAAATATTTCAGTATGTAATTTTTGATAGATAAATAAGTATAAAATAAATAAATGTAAATATAATGTTAATGTAATGCACCTACATAGTACTTATATGTAATGCATCAGGGGGTCAGGAGAAAATAAATAAATCCCAATAAATTGAAAACGACAAAGGAAGAAAGGACATGTATGTACGTGGATTTTCATATAGAAAATAAAAAGCATAAAATCGAAAGAAGCGCTTATCTAGAAATCTAAGAGATACTGAGATCTCTGTAATTTTAACATCTTGTGGCACGAGATGTTAAAATTACAGAATTGAGGCGCACCTGTGCCTGGAGACACATCTTTCGTGACATTAGTGGTCACACGACCCAGTTTCATAGTGTGGTGATACTGGTGATAGCCATAATCGTGATTACCTCATTGACTTATTAACCAAACTTCGGGTGTTGAGCAATATTTTCAATTAATATGTAAAGGGTTCCGAAAATTAATTTGAAGTATACAGTAGGTAAACTATATGTATACGGTTTCCGAAATTAAAATGAAAAGGCTCATCATGCTTTTATGTCTTCGTTGCAAATTATTTTATTTTTTAAAATACAATCTTGTAAAGCCAACTCAAATACTAATTACATTTTTCCGTTTGAGATCGCAAACACGTTATCATTATTTTCCGCGTGGTTTGATACTGAGAAACTTGCAAAAAATACTCTATTTTTTAGCTTTATACAAAAACATAATGAAACCCAGTAGGGTATTTTTCAACCAAGAATGGAAAGGATAAAAAAGAATCCATCTTTTTGACCAGAAAAATAATAATAAAGAAAATCATGATTATTATTAGGCTTCAAAATGAAAGTAGCCAGACCGACTCAGGGCTAAAGATGGAATGATCTTTAAAGTAAGGATTTGTGTTGGTTTTCTCTTCTGGTGGAAATCGATTGGTCGTCGGTCGTCGCATCGCATTTGTTTCGCCTCTAGCTTTTGCTCCTCGGTGGTGAAAGTGGAGAATTTCTCTCCGCAAAATGGAGAAATATAAGATATCCAGTAGTTTGGAGAAAGCATGGCTTAAGTTTTGTATTCGCTTTTTTTTAGCTTTTGGTTTTGTGTTTTAGAGGACT